CGGATTGGCGCCTTTTTGTCAAAATATTTATTAACTGATATGGATCTAATATGTGGCGTTAGTGTATGTGAGATATTATTTCGGTGTTGTATGAAAAGAAAGCATTATACGAACTGAAAATATGAATAAAAATGCTTTTTATTTTTGCTTTAAAATGCTTTGTAAACTTTACAATCGAGGGTGAAAACATAACAGCGCATATACAAGTAGTCCCTAACCGGTGTTTATTGGCAGTTTAACACCAGTTTTTTTCCTTCTTTGTCTATAGTGACAAAATCACGTGAGTGTTAGAATCTGGAATAATGGTCGATAATGTCATTTTCCAGGACGTCGTTATTAACGTAAATAGTCATAAACGTTTTATCCAAAAATGCGCGCACATGTAAATAGAGGATATTTGGTTGTTCTGAGTGAATATTCTATGTTATATCACACGAAGAAGTAAGAGAATGTGATTTTTTTTTCACCAGTGCGTATCATACCTGGACATGTTGATGTTTTATCACGTCGTTGATTATAATTTTATAAATGTACATGTTTAGCATATTAAAAAAAAAACAAAAAAAAAAACAACAAAAAAACAAAAACAACAACAACAAAAAGAAAATCAAAAACAAGCAAAAAATATGATGCAGTAGGGGCTATTTTTGCATTATGTAATGTGAAAATTTCTTCCTTTGTTCACTTTACAATATTTTACTTTTAAATACATTTTCCTAATTGTTATAAAAATAAAACATGGATCTTGCTACTTTAACGATATCATAACATTATGCTAACTTTAATGTTGAAATTTTAAAGAAATTATGGCATTACATTTCATGATTTCTTTCTATGAATATAATTATATTTTATAGGGGTCATTCAACACGTACCTGAAATTTTACTTTTACTGAACTTTGCCAATTTAGCCAGAATCACTCAATTTTATTCAGTTTTTACCAGATTATCATCCATTTGCCGCTTCTTTCAACAACTTTAGATGTCATATACTCAAAGCCACTAGTGACCAAAACTGGCATTTTCAGTAAACGAATTAAAAGCAATAATTATAATAAAATAAGACAAAATTATTTCAGTTTATTTTTTTCCTTTAATTTGATATGAAACAGTACGTGATTTCAACAACTTCAAGTATCTTACACACACACATCCACTGAACAGAACAATTGTATCTTAATTATATACTCTTATTATTTAGTGTCTGTTAAATTAAACAATGATACCCACGTGCTGTAATATCTTCCTTATTCTATTTTCATTAAAGTGTTTATTCTGATATATATATAATGTATATTAGCCCATACATGTTAATATATATATTATATTTATGGATAAAGAGAAATACTTGGAAAACATCTTGACACTGGAAATAAAATAACAATCGAAAGAATAAATGTGATTATTGTTTAATTACTTAAAGTAAGTAAGCCCTGAAAGTTTTCCTCGTTGCAAGGACAATATATCAAGATGAAATCAGATTTATCAGCTCATAAATTTCCTTGAAATTCTCTTTCTTATAGACTTAAAATACGCTTGAGCGAATGTCTGTCAGGGGATGAAGGTTACCCGAAAAGGTTTATCAGCGGAGTTGTTACTTAAAAATGAGATTAACTGCGGAATAACGTCACATCATTGCGGTGGAATTTTTTTTTAGTGCAATAATTGTCATTGGGGGTAGTTCAAGATGGCGGACGTGTTTTTGCAGAATGAAAGTAGTTAATTTTGTCCCTAAAAATAACAAGTAATGACCTAAATTTTCATGGTAACCTGTCTTCACAGTCAAACACAGATTTGGGCCTCTTTGTGAGGGTTTTGAGTCATCTCAGAGTAGGAAAAGAGCTCGCCGTTCGACGGGTTGGGCATCATGCGAATATATGTCTCAAACTCCGCCACAGCCTATAGACATTGATAAACATCTGCCTGTTGATGATAAACTTAACATTATTATTCAAAATATGTCTAATATGGGACTATTGAAGTTTCGAATTGATCAAATAGAGTCCACTGTATTTATGAATTGTGCACATCATGGGGTCACGAATGAGAGACTACGGTTGCTTGAATATTAACAAATTGAACTAGAGGCCCGTAATAGAGCCTCAAATTTTATTATCCCTGGGGTTGTTGAAAGTGCAGGCGAAAACTGTGTTGACATTGTGACGGACCTTACTGAAACTTATTTAAATCTACAAGCATTGTCATTTGTGATATTGAGGGCACACAGATTAGGTCGAGTGTTTAGACCTCGCGCTCCGCATTTAGGTCCCGCTCCAAAACCCAGACCAAGACATATTATGGTGCCTTTTTGTCAGCCTATTGAAGTCGAGTATATAATGGACAATGCTTTTAAGCTCAAAGGTTCTAATGTCGGATTCAGCAGGCACTATCCAAGGGAGATAAGTGACGCACGCAAAGTTCTGTGGCCACATTTCAAGGACGCCAGAAATAGGTATGGACACAAAAAGTTCGTATATTATTTCCGGCGGCAATGGAGGTAAATGGGCGTATAGAACGTAACATGTTCTCCGACTGGTTCGAGTTTCTTCGGTGGTCTAGATGCACAGATGTGCCCAAACGTGTTAGCGACAATATCAAGGCACAAACCGAACGAATTAAAGAAGCTTTCGCAGAGCGAAATTCCACTGAACAAACAATGGAGTCACCTAGTACGCATCAAATGGGCACAACTTATACCGATCACATTCCTGAGGCAAATAATTTCGAATCAACTGCTGACTCCGAATCGCAACACGGTGACAAAAGTGACAACAGTAGTGTCCATAGCTTTCATGACACAACCGCATCTACTAACCAATATACTAGTAACTCTCAGGTCCATGTCAAAACACCCAAGCAGTCGAGTGCAAAGGGCAAGGGCCCACTGCCACCCAGTATCTTAGAGTATTTTTACCTTAGAGCCAATAACCAGTCCAAAACCCAAAATACACCAAATAAGAGCAAAAAATCAAATCAATATCAAGTAATATTGAGTGACAAAAAGCTCTTAATTTCATACAATACAAACATATACAATTATAATACAACAACATTATATAAACAGGATTGAAAAGGAAGTCAAAGACTTCCTTAGATTTCTTTCCTGTACACTTCATTTATAAGGAAATTTACAGAATCATAAATATAGGCCACACAAAAAGCAACAAAAAAAAAAAAAAAAAAAACAAAAACAAAAAAAACAAACAAAAAAAACACACAAACAAACAAACAAACAAACGGCAAAGCTATGTTAACAACATTATGAGTGATATACTCTGAGTAATATGGGTTTTATATCACTAAATAGAAACACAGACTTTCATTTATAAGCATAAACTATTACAACGATTTGACAGGGTATTTCTTGCATAGCAGATTCCATGTAATTTCATTAATTTTGCTCATGTATCATGTGGGTGCCAGATGAGTCGCGTGCTTTACAATGGCATGCTTAAGATGACGTTATTTCGCCGTTTTGAATGAAGTTGCACTTTTATACGGATCAAGTTGAAATATTCATGTAGCATTTAGCAAAAGCTCATATTTCTGTCCTCTTAAATCGTATATGACAAAATGTGTAAACAGTTACAAACACATGTACATTTCGCTAAATCGTCTTTTATATTTCATTTACAATGTATATAATTATGGTAAAATGATTTACATTGAATAATAGTAATTAGAGATGTTAGAGATGTTAACTGAACATTCGAAAAAAGGATAATAAACAAAAAACGTATCTATACGACACAGATGCCCCCATATTTTACTATTTTGTCAGTTTACCGACGGACAGAGTAATAGTGTGAAGGATAAAGTGTAAATCCATATGTTCCACCGCCAAAGTGGGGGAATGGAATTGGATATGAAATCATCATATTGTATCTATGTTTCAATTCCAGTTTTGTTTATACATGTCTCACTATTTTAACAAGTTTTGGTCTATAAAATTGGTAAAATCTAAACTTTTAAACATTTCAATAAATCAATATATATAAATCAATATAAATATTTACATATCAAATTAAAATATAGCTCAATTATACATTAAATAATTATTGAATTTAAGATTATTACTTTTCAATCAAAGAAAGTAATTTCTAGTGTCTAATTCAAATGTAGTTCAATTTTAAAGTATTATTAACTATCAGGAACACTGTACATTTTCTATGTTAGACAAATCGCAGTAGTTGGTGTTTAGTAAATAATATAACTCTGTATTTTAAAAAAAAAGATTTATAATGACCTCAATTGGACAATTTTGAAAAATATCTGTTTTCTAAATTGATATATTATGTACATGTATATAATTGTTTGCATTGGAAAAATATAACAAAGGAATGTATACATATATGTCTTGTACAGCTATCGGACATTTCAGATTTATTGTAAAAACATGCCATAATAATGTGTAAGTAAAAGGCTGTGTTGCTAATGATACCCCTTTACACTGTTAACAATAAAAACGAATGATGTAACACAAATCCATTAAAGATTGTTGTTGGTGGCCGGCGGGTGGTAATTATTACGTCTGCGGTCAGTCACATTGAAACACCTCGCCAATGACCCATAACCAAGTTTGACAGGCGGATGAAAAGTTACCATTGACTGGGTTTTCCCTATTATATTTGCTACATCGGATATTCAGTATCATTCTATCTATTAAAATATAAACATGAGTGTTTTACACGGAACTGATTTTATCTTGATATTTACTTGACTTACAGTCACATAAATTATATTTTGGTAAGGCTATACACATGTTAAATATGCGAACTGATTTTCCGTGATATATACATATATAACCAAATCATCACATGTAATATATATGTTAAAATTCTATTGTTTGTTTTTCCTCCAAAATATCCCCTATATATGTCATATGTACACACTGTATATTTGCACTTTATGATTCTGTAACGCTGATTGTAACAGTATATAGTTTCTTATTTATATATTACTGTAGCAGAGATCATAAATATACAAAAGTTGAATTTCGCTCATAAAATTACACATTTTCGTCTAGGAGCACGAATCTTAATTTTTTGAGACAAAACGGCTAAAATTGCCTCATCAAAAACGTCCTTGAGACCCTGCTGAGTTAAAGAACTACATTCTACATAACCATATGCATTAACTTTCTTAGCTAATTTGGTACCTTCCTCATGAGTTGCTGGTTTTGATCTATATTTTTGTTGAAGTTCTCGCAGCACATATTCATCATCTCGTAGATCTATTTTAGTTCCCACTATGAGAAAAGCGGAAGTAGGCGAAAAATGCTGCACTTCCGGTACCCATTGCTGTAACACATTATCCATACCATTTGGATCAATAACAGAGTAACATAAAAGGAATACATGTGTGCAAGGGTAGGTTAGGGCACGTACACGGCAGTAATCGTCCTGGAAAATAAAAACAATTTCTTGAGAAATTAATTCAACGCACACTTAAATGGTGTTCGCACTAGTCTACAATTATAGTAAAATGAAAAGTGATTTCAAATTGAATTCATTTTTGTGAAAAACAATTTCGTTATAATAATTTAAAATAATAACATATACATGTAATATAAAGCATTTGTAAATCAGCAGCTTTAAGAAAATTATGCAAATTTTATTACAGATATAACTTCAACATGACGTTTTACCTATTTAATTTGAATAACCTTTATATGCACCAAACTTACATCTATATATTTATACTGATTGTTATTCTGTTTTAAATTTAAAGTATTTTTACAGAAGACAGCAGCTGATAAAATTATTTTTGATACATTGAATAGTCTTATATTGAAGACAAAACAGAAAACAACAGTTGCAGGCCAGACTGCGCCACGACTATTCTCATGTTTATAGTAAAACAAGATATGTTTGTAAAACATGTATGCACCGTATCGGCAGCCAATTAGTCATGTGATCAGGTAATTATGACTTACCTTTGACGTAGTGACCAAAACATCAATAAGGGTTATCTACTGGTCACTAGGTAATTGTGACCACAAAGGTTGCGTGCAGCAATTTTATGACAAAGCTATCACAAATCTTTTCAAATAACATATGAATAAATTCATGAATCATGTTGGCATAATTTATGACAGCCAAGTTGATATATTACATAAGACCTTGAAATATGTATACCAAAAGCATTTTAGTTTAAGAAAAAATATCAACCAGGGCAACTTGAGTTCTTTAGTTATCTTTATATACAATGTCAATATGACATCGACCGTTGACCTTAAATTAATAGGGGTTATCTACTGACCAAGACCAATGCACCTGTGAAGTTTGAAGGTAAAGGGCCCATGAGTTTTTGGATATTGATCAGACAGCGTTTTTACATTTAAGGTCAATATAACCTTGACCTCTCGGTCTTAACCCCAAAAATCCATTGAGGTTATCTTCTTACCAAAAGCAATGCATCTGTAAAAGCCTGAAGGTCAAAGGTCCATGGGTTGTTAAGTTATTGATAGAAAACCGTTTTGACACACAAATTCAATACGACCTTGACCCCCTGACCCCAAAATCAATAGGTGTCATCTATTGGCCAATACCAATGCACCTACACAGTTTGGCCAACAGCCGATAGCTTGTCAAGTTATTGATCAGAAATCGTTTTTCTTACAAGGTCAATTTGACCTTGATCATTGACCCCTGACCCCAAAATCAATAGGGATCATCTACTTGTCAAGAATAATGCACCAGCCTTTGGGTTGTCAAGTTATTTATTGAAAACCGTTTTCACCTACAAGGTCAATGTGACCTTGACTTTTGACCCCTTGACCCAAAAATCAATAGGGTCATGAACTATCACCGTACCATGTTTGAAGTTCCGAGGCCTAAACGTTACCTAGTTATTGATCGGAAAACCGTTTTTACCGACAAGGTCAATGTAACCTTGAACTAGTTATCACTCGGAAATCATTTGGTCTACGGACCGACCGACAGACAAATGCAAAGCAATATACCCTCTCTTCTTTGAAGGGGGGGGGGGGGCATAATAATACATTAAAAAAGGTAGGACATGTAATTTACAAAGGAGGATATAGAAAAACAAGTTTACAAGGTTCTAAAATTCCGACAAAATCCATGTTAGAGTTACGATACTTGAAAGATACCTATAATTATGATCGAACGCTTGTGTGCAGTCTCTATTAAAAACCTACAATATTTTAGGACATTGATCTTCCAAGCAAAACTTCTTAGAATTTCAAATTAGAACTTAGAACTTTAAGTGGTTTCTGAGATATGCAGATGCATGCAAAGCCATAACAGCGCTAAGACGACCAACTTTGAATAGGTTAGCCTTGCAATTCCTTGAATAGTCGAGCTAAATTGTTTTATGTTTCGAGAACTGTCAGATCAATATTTTCCTGCAATATTATATACAGTAATTTCAACACGTATTTGAATGCGCAAACCTTAAAGGGTCTCCACTAAGGTTTTTTGACATAATTTGACTGAAAATATTTTTTCTAGATAAATGTACCATTTGATGTAGGTTTAGACCATTAATCTTAACGTAAAATTTCAAATCATTTGAGCATTTCGTTTTTTTTCAGAATAATTGTTCAAAATGTAAAAAAATGCATAAAATGAAAAGCGTTTAAACGCTTTTAACTCAAATCTGGCTAAGAAAGGCATACAAATATGATTTTCAATTTATTTCAAAGTATATTTTTTAACTATCTTTGCATTTATTTCTGTTCAAAGTGCCCCAGCTGATTCGTGTAAGAAATTCAAATGTTATGTTTTTAGGCTTTTAAACCTCAGTGGAGTCACCCTTTAAGAACATTTAAACAATCCACTGCGGATAATCGATCATTTTAATAATTTTGAATATACCGAGACATTTTAACGAAAATCGTCGTCGTCAAAACCATTTTTTAGGAGGCGCACAATGATTTTATCACTCGTAACTACATATTCGTTTACACTTCTTTACACTAATGTACATTTATATAGGTTCTACTTGGGTTTGTAAGGATATGATAATCAGCACATTTCATTTATCCCATTCTTTGCTTAAATCTGTATACATATTGTGAACTTTAAAAAATATGCTGGACTACATGTTAGAACAGAGCACAATTAAGCTACGGCATCGTTCTTGGACATGCTGTCAAGCAGTTAACCTGTAAAAGTTGCCTTCACTTTCGCAAGCAATTGATAACGTCTGTAGATGCCAGGATTTCATGATCAATCACAACGAAAGAGACGTGAACCGTCCGGAAGTCGAACCCACGTCGCCAGACCAACAGTCCAACGCTGTCTCTATCTTACTAAGCGGATTATTTGAACCTTTACCAGTAACTTACGATAGAAATGGATACATCTTAAAATTAAAGCATCGCGAGTTTCTTACCATTCCATGAGTATCAAATAACCCCAGTTGGTAAGATGTTTCCTCTATAGTGACATTTACTGAAATAGATAAGACTAAAAATTAATTAATTAATGTGTTCATACCTAATACGTGATTTGCAACATATGAATTGGTGTTTTCAGCAATGTTATCGTGCATTTTTGAATTGGACAAAAATACCTAAGTGATGAGTATTAAAAATGTATTTGTTTCGAATGGGTTTGAAAATAAGTCTTATAATTTTTACTTAATAAGGAACATATTAGATATACACTAAGTTAAATACCCTGAACTTGTGCCCATGCATAGACAATTACAAAATTTATTCAATAGTAATCACATGCATATTTAAACAAGAGAACCATGATAGCCCTTATATCGCTCACCTGATGACGTGGAAAAATTAAAGTGTTAACATTGAATAAAAGCAAATATAATGCCTTCATCTGAAACTGATATTATAACATTCTGCATTCTGAAACAGTGCAAATGTAATTTAAAAAGGTTCTCCATATAGACGCCTTGCAGAATGTAAGGTCAATTTCAGGTCACTCATGTTTTATTTAGTAGAGGCAGAAAACTTCCAGAACAAGTTTAAAAAGAAGTTATTTAACAATAATCATACTTTAATTGTTAAAATAAGCAATTGTTATTAGTAAAATATATCTAACATTTTTCAGAAATTTGTGAATTATTTGATATTTTTGTCTGTTGGTTAATTTGGGGTTTGTTGATGTAAAAATTAAGGATATTACTTAATGGTGAATAAAATAGATAAAGGTTGAAAAACTTATGAAATATCATAAATAAAATATTCTTATGAAATATCTTTTTTTATAAAATTCCAAAAAACAAAATGGTAACATTATGATATTTCCATCTCACATAGAATATTTCTTTAATTGAAAACACATGAACACTGTGCATTAACATAATAAAATGTTGCGGAACAAAATATTATGCTACTACTTTAAATAGGTTTTTAACAAAACAAAACATAATTATTTCATAAAGGCATTCTTATTCAAATTTATGGATGCTCAAATAGGCAAAACTCAGAAAACACAATGTCATTAATTAGATTCCTATATACTTATTGTGGAGAAGGGATGCATGGACAAAAGCTATAAAAATATTGGACTAAGAAAATTAAAGCCGTGGCAACCAAGAAATAATTCTTTTTATTCATTTTACGTTTTATAATGTGACCAATTGTTTTGCTTCATGATTTTTACATAACATAAATGATTATTAAGAAACTGATCGGTCTAATAATTTCTCCATTTTACATAGTTAATTAATTGTTAGCAAAAAATGAAGTTTAGCCTTATTGTTTTAACAGGCTTTTCTGCAGAAGCTGAACTATTTTAAATGACTACTAGTATGTTACATGTATGCATTTCAAAAGACAAAGAATGTCTGTATAATTTGGTAAGATATTACACAAATATATGTATTTAAGCCAGTACGTTGTTTCATTTTTTTCTGTAGTCTGACATTTTTAATTAAATATTGGTAGTTTTGAATTGTAGTTATGAAACTGAGTTCATGCCTGAGGTTAAAAATAAATTAAAGATGATTTAAATAAATCGATGACAATTTAGGTTGCATGGATTTGATCATATTGTTTCTTTATCAGGTACGTAAGCCTTGTAACGTATCTTCTTTGTACACTGTCTCTTGCTTGCCAACACCTGTATCTTTCAGACCAGATGACACATATTCAAAATTGAGCTAGAAATCATTAAAACAACTTTCTGACAAACAACTAGGATATTTAATCTGGAAATCTTACCTCTAGAGTGTTAACAAGTTTGTTTTCCATATTTGGGCTGCGTGACCTAGTTTTTGTCCCTAAGTGACTCGTTTTCTAACTTGACATAGAAACCATCTAATCAGTTTTTCTAACATTGTTTTTCAAGATCATTGAGAGAAAATGTTTCCTTGAGCTAGAAATCATCTTAAAAACATTTCCGACTAATTTTCAGGATATATGGATCGAAACAGTTGCCTCTAGTGTAAACAAGGACTTTCCATATTTCGGCTGTGTGACCTACATTTTGACTCCAGGTAACACATATTAAAACGTTTGCTTGAAACTTTTCTTACAAAGCTCCAGGACATTTGGACAGAAACAGGTCAGTGCTTAAAAGGTTTCTCAATGTTTAGACTGTGTGACCTAGTTTTTGAACCTAGATGACCCATATTCGGACATCTTGATCAAATTTGGTGACAACTGAGGAAAAATATGTGACCACTAGAGTGTTAACGAACTACATGTAGACGGACAACAGACATTCGATGATCATAAAAGCTCACCTTGAGCGAGCTCATGTGAGCAAAACTCTATTTGCAACCTTCAGCTGATTAATATGGACGCCTGAACGGGACACCGGAATAAAGAGATACAGAAGCCTGTTGGGATCGGGCATTCAGATGATGTAGCTTCAGTCTTCATCTCGTGCAGGCGCATATATCATATAGGTATATTGTAGTCATGAAGTAGATTGAGGAAAGGTTAATCATATATCTGTGAACACTTATGAAATCATATAAACATTGTATAAAATACATGTCCTATTAACCCATGATAGTTGATGTTATATTAAAACATTTATTGTGTTGTCAAGGTTAGCGTTTCAGCTATTGTCTTTCAAGTATATCTAGATGTTTTAACAATTAAAGTATACTTGAATAAACGATGAACGATTAAAGTAAGTTGAAACATTTATAAAATTTCGTTACACTGATCAAAATTTAAGAATGACCCGATATTTACATAAGATATCAACTTCCCGTAAAGTGCATGCATACAATACAACATGAAACTACACAACATGACCGCATACAATAAATCTCATACTCAGTTTGTATAGTTTGAGATGAATCGTTAATCGTTAGACTTTCAAAAACATTTTATACTACTGACGACAAACGTTTATAGATATGTAAGGAGCCGCATTTTGTGTAAATACATGTACGGTATATACATTGTTTATATATCAATTGGTTCGTCAGATGATAATTGCATAAATATAATTGACCATTACTGTCAATTTGCATTATATAAAGGTCACAAATGTAAGCACGCGAGGGAAATACCAAGTTTTTGGACATCAGACTTCGAGAGACGCCTTCGTGACTAATCGTTTATATAATTATACTGAAACAAAAAAGAAACTTTCTCCAAGTTTGAACGTAGATATGTTAGTATAGGATAGATCATGAGTAACAATTGGATTTGAGATTTATCAACGAGCGAAGCGAATTAATAAATCTCACATCCAACTGGTACGAGCGATCTATCTGACTTAGACCACAGGTAGTTTTCTCTGTTTAAGGTGAAGATTAAACATGCGTAAAAATGTTTTATTCCTCCGACAAAATTACATAGGGATATCCAAATATTTCTTATTCAATCCATTTCGCCTTTTTGTAAGCAAAAAATATGCACAAGAAAATAGCATAATTCATGTTCTTTCATACTTACTGAATCTTGTGAATGACAGATTTCACATTCCATTTTAAATGTCTATCACAAAAGTGCAGTCAGAAGAAAATTGGTAATAATTTAACATTTCTGAGTGTGATAACATTACAATTTCGTAACTTGAGATGTTTTGTTTTTATTCCTGTTAAGTCCTCATTTAAATATAATGACAAAACACCGTACACAGCGCTTGATTAAGAAGTCAAGAAGCAAGACTGCTGACCGAAAAATTCTCTTAGACAGAAATCATGGGCGATGGCTACTTATCAAGAGTGAGCTCGTTTATTACCTCCCTTTACTTACATGAAATGTTAAATTCGGTGATATATTTTGAAATAAATAAAATAATGCTTTTTTGAACCTACAATATTGATAAATCTTAATTTGAGCATCATATTTATGATTTAAAACCATAAAAAATGTGTTACAGGATCTTTAACATTTTACCTTGAATTTTTACAAATGATTGTGGATCATTTACAATGACTTACAGCTAGTAAACACGTTATTGGATTTCGTGTTGGCATTCATAATTGTTAATTATAAATTATATTATTAATTGATTAATTATTGTATTAATTATATCATAATTCTAAGAGAAGATTCATGTGATTTAAGACCCTTCAACCTGTGTGTCCCAATAATACCTTTTGTGCTAAATGATGCCAGGAATCTTGTTGAAATACCTATTGAACTGTTTCATGATGACTGTTAATGAGGAATGTCTGGTAAAGTCAGAGCTTCAATAAATGGCCCGATCAAAATATGTGTCTATTCTACATTTTAAATTATGTGCACTTTGCATCAGCAGTCAATCCTTCCGTGTTTCCATTTCTACTAGGTCAAAATCACATTAGCAACTTGAATAATAGATAACCATTGCCTTAATTTTAACGAGGTGCACTTCTGTATTTTCAGGATCTTTAACTATTTCTTGAATGTGGCAAGGGGTTATGCCATCGACAAGTTCTCGAGATTGTTATATTCATTTTAGTGATTAATGAGATAAGTATCTTGTATGTTTTATAGTTTACTGTTGCTGGAATAAAGCTTTATGTATGAGAATGGAGTAATGTTTCCTTCTAGCTCTTTAAAAACAGATTTTTTAAGTTCTAATGACTAAGTTCTTATGTCTAAGTTCTACTGTGTAAGTTTTATTGTCTGAGTTATAATGTCTAAGTTTTAGTGTCTAAGTTCTAATGTCTAAGTTTTAATGCTTAAGTTCTAATGTCTAAGTTCTAATGTCTAAGTTTTAATGCCTAAGTTCTAAGATAGTCGGGCCATGTCGCCTGGGCCACTTTATAGGTCTTTAACTGCCACGGGCCCCCCTTTTGGCCCATTTTTATAAGCCCTTTATTTCGGTTAACCGAGACAAGGTCATCGCTTGGTTATACTTTGATTTTGTCTGTCCGCATTGTTATACCTATTGGCTTGCACATTTTAACAAACGTCCTTACTAGTCTGAAAGGTAGGCGCAGGTGCAGATGTTTCTTGTGACAATCATTTGTTATTGTTCTACTGATACTGACACTTCTTTGATCAAAAGGCAAGCAGAAAAAAAAGAATAAGAAAAAAATAGACTGCATAACTAAAAAAACTTTTGCAATCTGTGATTTGCTTTATCGCTGAAATTTAAGGGAACATGCAACTATAGCCACAATAATGACATGCGGTTGTTATGAAATCATTATGGATTTTTTTATTATTTATTTTTTATTTTGCACGCTTAAGCAGAATTCAACATTTAAACACGAAAATGGTGAAATTTAGAAACATCCGCAGATGTGTTCATACGGCGGTTATCATGGAACCTTCAATGTGACACAGTAATGCCATTCCATGAAAAGCGGCGTATGGTCCCCATGTTAAACCGGTTATAACTTCATCAAATATTAATAGAGAAGTGCACGTCGCTAAATTTAGGATATGGTTAACTTTATTTAATGGCCACTGTAATCTTGACCTTGTACAGGTGGAAGCACGGAACGATTGACCGCTGATGCAAAGTGCACACAATTTATAATGTAGAATGGACACACACTTTGATTGGATCATTCTTTGAAGATCTGACTAAACCAGACGTTTCACAAAAACAGTTATCTTTAAACTGTTCAATAGAAGATTCCTGTCATCCTTTAGCATAAAAAGGGTATTATTATTAAGATACACAGGTTGAAAAATAAGAGATCATATGAAACTTTTGTTAGAATTATTTATAATATGATTAATATTATAATTAATATAATAAAGGGAGGTAATTAGAAATTTATTTTCTATAAATTTAAAGTCAAATTTTCAAATAAGAAATGAATGCATATAATTTATTGATTTAATATAACGTGCACAAATATTTGCTGTACACATTTTACATATTCTTCGATGTTTGAAAATTGTTTTATTTGCATAATTATATACATAAATATTTTTTTTTGCAAGTGTGGTATATACACAATAACAATATCAATCACAAAATATACAGGATCTTTAACGATTCGTTTAATAGCTGACGGAAGCTTTCTGTTATTCAACAATTGCAGCTGATCAAAATTCCCGGTTTTGTTACAATAAAGCCGACTAATAGATCCATAAAGTTTTGGCATATCTGTATGTCTTCTTGATCAATACAGATGACCAAACTTATGCCCACGATAGATTCCAGGTACAAAATACATTATATCAGGTCTTCCGTAATGTATTTCAAAATTCTCTTGGGTTTTAGCTTATCATGAAGAGGTCTGCTTGGATCAAATCCATAAAACAATATCTTAGCAATTCAATGTGTACACGATTTGTTATATCCAAACTATGAAATCAATAAGATCCTTGAAAAATGAAATCCACCAGTGCAATCTTGTCTTCGAAGTACAAGTAATCCCTACCAGAGAACTAAACGCTGATTTTCTAAACGCTGATTTGCTACACTCTTTCTATACATAGAAATTTTCAACCATGATACACTGTCTGTGCCGTTTTATCTGAAAAATTGTTGAAGCAATGCTAGCGTAGAATTTTCAGTTCCTCTAACGTCACGAACGAGCCTTAGGGCAATTCCTATTTTGTTTAATGTGTCTGGGTAGTATGACACAATCACTGCGGACGAGTTGACGCAGTTTGATTCTTCGAGCTATAAAATGAGTTGACTGTACAGAACAGACTCAACATGGCTTGAACTTACCGTAACCATTTACATGCAACACAAAGTTAATCAGTTCTTCTGTTGTTAAATGCGCCCCTCTGAGAATGACAAATAAATCTGTGATTTTAACACTTGTTACTGGTGTAATAATAAACAGCCAAAATTCCAAACCTCCATGCCCATTTAGAGACGTTTTTTATCTTCCGGAAAAGGGATTAAGACATTTCTGCAAAAGGAAACATTATTTTAATACACATTAGAAAATCGACATTTTTAATTATTATAAAACAGATACACAATTTTAAATACTGATTGGGGAATTACACAAATACAGGCAACATATATTAGTTTCAATGCTTGTGTCCCTTGGCCGTATTGTTTTTTGGTAGCAAGGTTCGACTTAAATAGCTAGAACTGGCTAAAATAGCCACTCAGCCTGTTGAAGCTAGCTTGAGCGACCTTTGCCTGTCATTGAAAATTGTTGTTTTTTACCCGACTCTTACATTTGCGTACGGATACGTTGGTACGCACGGGCATATAGAAAGAACAGAGTTTCGAAAAAATAAGATTTCAAAAATGAAAAAAATAATTCGGCGTAGATCTATCAACACATTCTTAGCTGCTAATTGATTATATATACATGCAAAGGATATGACCTAATTCGATTATGTGTTACCTATTTACAATCAAAAGTTATGAGAGAAGGGAGTAAACACATATGAGCAAATTAATTACATTGCATGTGTTTATCAAACGGAAGCCATTTTAGAAAGGATTATTCTAACGTTGTTTCAGACTGGAAGCCGAATAATCAAAGTTCTTAAGGAGGCATGGTTGAATTATCTTAAGATTCCGAGGATGAGACTTTTAAACTTAAAAAACAAAATGCTCAGCCTTTCTACAGAGCCTCGGAGCGATGTACACAATGCAAAAATATGATATGAACATGTTCTTGGAAGTTTCTCTCTTTTATTTCAGATTGAATAATGCTTTGAATAATAAATGTTTTAATCCAAATTGACCTCGTCAAAAGCCAAATAATGATAATAAAATGTCCAATTTTGTTACACTCCTCTTTCTAGCCGAATCAAAATTAGTGAAAATAAAACATTTTTTTTTTTAACATTTATAGACAAAATTAAGTCTTGTCCGCAACTTGGCGTTTGTTTGTTGCACAATGGAAGGGAGTTGGTCATATGATATTCTTTTTTTAATATTTTACCTTGACCTTGTTACAAATTTGCATACTTCTGCAAACAATGACATACATTCTTTATTATACGCAGTCTCACCAATACACTTGAAATACAACGAGAACAATATAAAGCCATTTCCCAATTCTTTTATTTTCGCCGACTTTAGGCAACGAGTTGGCGAGTCTTTTTACGTCAACATGCTTTTATTGCTTTAGACAATTTGCAATAAAATAACTTAAATATTTCGAATGAACATTGAAAGAGTAGAAGAAATAGCTATTTTCTTTTGAATTGAAATAATACACATTTTTAAAATAGTTTTATGGTACTTAATGATCGTGCGATACTACAGTTTAGCTGAAAATACAATAACCTATTGTTACACTAGAACATTTAAGGTGTTGTGTTTGTACTATCGTTGTACAGATCATTTTAAAGCATATTTTCCTTAATTATATCTCATAAAACAAAAGAAAAAGAACAAAGAAAATATTTTGTTTAAAGCAAATAAAGCTTATCTTGATTATATTGAAGACGCCTGGCTATGTTCAGGTTTCTAGTAGTAAATATGTTTTGAAGTATTAAAACAGTATACACGTTAGACTTTGTGCAATTTCTTTTACATCCAATACATGTACTTGATGTTATTTTTATAACTTTGTAATGATAGGAACAACAGTAGTACGATTAAATGACATTTAATCGCTTAGATATCCCCTAATTAAACCCCGGTATACCACTGAACAGCTAGCTAGAGCTATATTTGGTATAAGTCTATGGTAACCCTTCTGCCAAAGACCTGAACTTGGCGTATAATCAAATCAAGCGTACACTACTGTCTTATATATATTGATATAATCACTTAATCTTTTAGCGTATTAGCTATATCTCTGCAATATTTTGAATTAAGATAAAATGAAAGAAATTTCACTTACATTTCTTGTCCATTTTGAAGTTAATACAGCGTTTCTCCGCCCTTACGGGACTTCTAAGTTCTAAGAGTTAAGACCTTAGTTCTAAGATCTAAGTTCTAAAATCTAACATCTAAGTTAAATGGGGTGAAATAAATCAAGCCCTTTTAATAGTATCTTACAAATTACATGTACATGTACTTATTTAAATAGAATGAATTGGGTTAAGTCATGACTACATTTTATCTGTTTACCGGGAAACGAAAATCTGAACCTACATCATAAACCTTTGGGTATTCCTGTCTATGTTTTAAAACTTATAACTGTCAAACGAAAATCAGACACAAAGGGAAAATTGCTGATTTCAACAATGTTCAACATTTCAATCATGTTCAATATACAGTAAACTTGTACATAATTTAAAGAAAAAAACTTTTTGCCTAAATTTTGGTTTGATGTACATTAGTTTAAAAATCTAGCAGACTTAAATTTAAACACGATGTGTGTTCTTTAGAAAACATGTTACAGTTATGCATTATTCACATCAACACACACCTGTATGATCATCGCATGGTCCCATAATATCTTCCTTCTGAAATATATTAGTTGCATAACTCTTCACCATACAAGTTTTTCCAACAGTCGCGTCACCTACCAAAACACATTTTATAAAACGATGTTCATCGTCTTCCCCACTCATTTTGTAAAAAAGCGAAAAGTACAACTTTAAAGATCCGAGGAATATGACAAAAATAAGTGTTATCCAACTAATTGCGCAAGTATGAATGGTATACAGTGAAGCATGTATGTATGCATGTATGTAAGCATGCATGTTTAGGCCATTGTATACACACCGGTCTCTCAAGTCGTACGACGCATTACTCACCTCCAATGAGGGTAAAAATGACTCCAACATAAAGAAGTCCGCGTAACGATGACGATTTTATTTTATCAAACACAATATATATATTTTCAAGTGATTAAAGTTGTTTATTGCTTCCAAGGGATTACTGTTTTCCAGATTTTAATATTGCAAGTGCAAATGATAGTTCGACTGTGTTACTATTTATTTAAATATTCAAAACTACTTTAACTTTCGGTTTTAAACTAACAATGGACGAAATACTAGCACGCGTGTTGAACGAAATTGGGTTTGTTAAACCACTAAAGGATTGTCAGAAGAAGTGTTTGATGCATGTTTTAAGTAAAAGTGATGTAATGGCTTTTTTGTCATTAGGGTATGCAAAATGTTTAATTTTTCAAGTGCTCCCATTTGCGTTACAAGTCAAGTATAATCTGATTTCTTCAAGTTTTGAAAAAAAAAGGAATAGACGCATGCTGCATCACTTCCGTGTTCATGCCGCCATGTTAAAAGTAGTGCGTTCCCATCATGCTTAGGTCAGTAAGACCGGTGTACACAATCCATTTAGGCTGAATCTAAATTTAGTTTGTTTATAGTGCGTGTCTATTTATAGGATACTGAATTCGAGAATGTTTGGGGTTGATCTTTTTTCATATCATATGCAGACAGACGTGCTGCACATTATAATTTGTTTGAACTAAACAATGTAATAAGAGACCACTGTCTTCTATTAACTGTCTTTTATTACCATAAATAAAATAAAACCATGGAAAAATGCAAGCAGACCGTCTATGAAAAGTTACTGGTAATTAAATACTAGTAATGTTTTTTCTACCATTAAAGCGGAACAAGATGTTTTTTCGAAGGTATATGACCACTTTTGTTCAGCGCCCACCGGATATAGCCCCTCAAAACTTCCAAAACGAAAGCAAAAATAGTTGACGGCGAGTTCACCAAGGGTAATGTTTCAACTTATTTCTCTGTCAAAACTATATCGATTTTCCAAACTCAACAGTTTTGTGAAGCTACATATGTCATGGTTTAGAGCGGTATTTGCTTTTTTCTGCAAATTGAATACTTTTATATAAATAAGCGATAAATTGTAGGGGTTTTGTTGACATTTGCGAACGATGTTGATATTTACCTGTAAATCAGGTCGAAAAGTCATTTGTTGTACCAAATTCCGTATTTAATATACAATATAGACTTCCTTCTACTTGTATTTGAGTGGTCATCCATCAACTCTAGCTGCTTTTAGCAAAATTTGCGTAAAACGGTCTTTGCTTTTGTACAGAGTCCAGCAAGAAAAACAAATTCTTTGTTACAAAAATGCTACAATATTTCGCCAGTTAAACAAAAAGTATTCAATTTGCAGAAAAAGCAAATGCTGCTCTAAACCCTGACATATTTAGCTACACAAAATTGTTTGGTTTGGAAAATCGATGAAGTAATGACGTAAACTCGACGTAAACCTTTTTACTTTCGTTACCGGAGTTTTGAGGAGCTATATCCGGTGGACGCTGTACAACAGTGATGACGGCTATGTTTTTTTAGAAATAGACAAACTGAGAATTTTAGTTTCAAGTTACATGTATTATCTTAAACATAATCTTAATATGGTTGTAATGAAAGAAAAAAAAAAAAAAAAAAAAAAAAAAAAAAAAAAAAAAAAAAAACAAACAAAAAAAAACTTTTTGATATGTTCGGACACAATCGTTCTTATTATAAAATCCTGGTTTATAATCAATAACATATTAAAATAATAAGAATATAATATTGAAAAAAAAAGAATATAACATTGAAATAAATAACAGAATGCAATATTGAAACGTATAACTAAATAGATAATTAAAAAACTTAAAGAATATGATATTGAAAAGAATTAAAGATTATATAAAACTAAAATAATGGTAAAACATATCCCTCAAGTAAACACGAAACAAATGCGATGTTTATTCACCATCATAGTGACATTTATAGCATAAACCGCGGCACATGAGTGCAATTAAGTTTTGAACTTTACACTCGTTAAATAACTATGCAACATGATCACTGTCTGCGTGAAACATCTTGTCAAATGCATCATCTTGTCAAATAAGTTTTTTTCACAAAAAACGTCGTATCAAATTTAGAGCTGCAAACTCGAATTTGATGCGGCAAACATTTTTATCGGGGGGAGCAAAAAAAATTGAAATGAATAAAACATTGATATATTACCATACTCTACACACTCTTTCTCTTTATTAAAGCAGATGTCACTGTAACAAGTTCAAGTCCGGAAATAGTATAAAACTTTAACAAAACAAAACTTTTTGTGCATGCATTAAAAAAGGAGCCTTTATTTTCTTTTAAAGCTTAATAAAAAAAAAAAAAAGACTGAGTAAGATCCTAAGGTTAAAGTGAAAAATACATTTTTGTGTTGGGTTTTACGTCGCAGCAACAATGTATAGGCTATGTAGTGACTTTCCAGCGAAGATCTCAGATGTCCTTCTATGCATTATTTCAGGCTTCTTTTGCTTCTTTTTCAGATGCTTCTTGAACTTCTAACATACGCACATTCAAAAATGGTATTTCGGATAGACATATAAATACCATAATAGCATGAATCTTATCGTTATATCGAAATCAGCATACATTAAGAATCTAATTAAGTTTCTATTACAAGATTTTAACATTAATTGTTTCGAAGATAATGGCGGTTTATTCATAGGGAGTCTTCAATTTGATATTGTTCAAGTGTTTAAATACAACTTATCGACTGCTAAGTTGCAATGAATATCGACGTGTATTTCATGCAAATTACGATATTATGCTCATAGAGCATAATGAAAGACATATTTTATCGTCGTAGTCCCGTAAATGTATCCAAATGAAACAATAAAATAGCGTATAGTCCGCGATTTTCTGATACAATTCTTTACATGACTTAATAAACACTTTAAAAATGAAAAAAGAAGAAGATAGAAAAGAACCATTATCATCATCATCATCATCATCATCATCATCATCATCATCATCATCATCAGCAGCAGCAGCAGCAGCAGCAGCAGCAGCAGCAGCAGCAGCAGCAACAACAACAACAACAACAACAACAACAAAAATAACAACAATGAACAAACAAACAAACAAACAACAACTAAAACAAAATAAGTGTTTACACTTCAATTCTATGTTTTACGTATACATATAATTAGGTAAGTTAGGATTAAAATTGAGCTTTTAATGGCCTATCATAAAACATGTATGCCCCTTCTTTAAACTCTGCTGCAATGTTTACATTTGTATACATAATGCAACTCTTCAAGTGACGTTTGTATTGTATTGTGTTCTTTGCTATATATAAACTTATAAATTTATTCTGACTTATATTTGTGTAGAACCTGTAAACCTCCCTTATTTCATGACAAAATTTGTGATGCACGTATTATTTACCACTTGTAGAAAATCAGTCTCAAAAACTTACTATAGTAGTTACACTTAACCCAGAAAAACAAAAGCATTGTTATAACTGGTTTTTGCAATAAAACTTGTTTTTAATACGTTTAATGCAAAATTCATTCTGATTACATAATCTTATTGCAATTTTCTCACAACAAGTTTTGTAATTAAACCGATATTTGCAATAAAAAAAATCCAAAAACAGTTTTTATAATTAGATAATATCAAGACACTATCATCTTAAGCTTGATATTTTAACATAAGGATTAGGATGTAGTGGTTTAATTCAAAAACATCTTTATTTACTTTCAAGAAAAATAAATATTGACAATTTTATTGCAAAACTCATCTCTTTTGCAATAATATAAATAAAAATAAAGAAATCATAAAGATAGTCCAAAGCGGCAAAATTGATAATATTGCAGGCTCGGTTTGTTTGAGTCTATTCTTGGACGGCACTGGGAAGTGCATGCTACATGCTACTTGCAAATTGCGAGGGGCTTAAGTAATTTTTTCATACGCGTGTTCAATTCAGCCAAAAGTATGCTGTTTAGAGCTGATGACTTGGGATGCAGGAGTTGCTGGAACTCTAGCAAGCCCTTATTCAGGAATGGAGAAATATACTCAAAGCTTTTATGAGACAAAACTAAGACATTTCCACGAGACAGGTGTTCACACGTTGTTATAGTAAACTAGGAGGACACATTAAGTATTAGAACTGGTTTACTAACAGATTTGGTGGGATTCAGAGACTTTTTATTTTGTTACGATATTTACAGCCATACTGTGATTTTACATTTTGCAGTAGCTTATTTGTTTTGTTAATTTCTCTTTGTTTTTGTCAATGAATTGTAAATAAAATTCTAAGTACTAATAAGAATGATTTATTATATGATCTAAATATAGCTGCAATCTCATTGGTTCAAACAGTAGTCAATAGAACTTTTTATAAAATCATATTTACTGGCTTGGTATCATATTCACTGGCTGAATTGGATTTTCCCAGTCTAAAAATAGATTGAGACTCATATTCAATGACCATACACCTTTGACTGTTAATTACGCGTGTTAATTAAAAGAATATTGTTGCGTTTTGTTCTTTATGGCATATTTCTCGATTCAAATGTCATTACTTTACTATTTTACTTAAAGGCTACAGCGCAATGATGAGTATAAACTTGAATTACTTTTGTATGTGCAGCGTTCGAGTACTCGTTGCACGCCTAACACGTGCGTCTTTTTTTCCCGCGCTTCAACGAGGCAAAAAGTGTACATGAATATAAGGTTGTACTTTTTTTTAAATTCTTAGCCTATTCATATAATAAAACAATTATTGACTATCGCCTCGGTCAATATGTCATCTGCCGGTGAATATCACATCATATTCAATGGCTCACAAGTCAATAATTGTACAATATTGAATTTTGTATGGTCTAAAGTTGAACAAAATACTACCACAAATAACCAATTTATATCGAAAAATGTAAGTGTCGGATTATAAATGCCTCTTGAGTGTAGTTTACGTCGCTCCAATGCACTCGTATACGGGTTGGATTCATTTTATGTCTCTATAGGTTAAAAGAACTATAATTTTAACTTCCTTATGTAAAGTTTAAAACATAATCTATTGTTCAATCAAAGTAGAAAAATATAATCATGTGTTGTTAGAGGATATACTTAAAATACAAATATGATTTTGAAATACGTAAGTTTTAATTGATATAATGCATGTATATCTTATGAGAGTTTGTGTAATACTTGATTAAGATATAGACACGCGTCTTAATATATGTGCAGTAAATATCTATTTGTTAATAGAGGATTCTTAAATGACATCTATAATATTAAGATACGGAAGTATAATGAAATCAAAATAATGTCCTAAATAAATATGTACAATGCGTTTTTGTGGTGGGGGATATCACTTGATATGCAGAAAACTCACGCTTGTATTAATTTATACGTAAAATTTTGCTATTAAATCACTTTTTATTACACACTAACTAGTACGGAATTAGTGCTTCAAGAACACTTTTTATGTGCCTGCAAATATAGTATAAAACACTATTATCAGTAAAACGATATGAAAACAATGAAAAGAAATAAAGACTTTACTGTGACAACATTTTAAAATATCTTAAAATAACGTTGGTTGAATTTAAATATAATTTTGTTTCTATTATTTATCCACCTGTTATTAAAAGTAACTTACTATCCTGCAAATGGTACTTAATTCCAGAAAACATTCTATTTAGTTGTTATAATTTGTTGTGTATTGGGCATGTACATTAATTAGATATATATATATATATATATATATATATATATATATATATATATATATATATATATATATATATATATATATATAATATATATATATATATATATTATATACATTAATTAGAATAATATAATTATGAAAATATGAAAAATCTAATTAAAATATAATTTTCAAGCATAAAAACTGGTAAGCATGTTAGTAAGTATAATTTGATAATTTGATTGTCGTTTTGATAAAACATGAACATAATTATATATAATAATGCATTTTATTCAGGTACAGTAAATCTATTATATTTTTATATTCTAATCATTGCTATCTATTTCAGAAATTCATCACCATGCTCTCATTTTTGGTATGCTGTAAATGTATATTTGCAGCTGGTAAGTGTTTTTGTTATCTGATTACAGGATATTAGTGTGTAGATTTAATACTAAATATATTGAACGAGCTGAAAAAAATCATATGCGACCCATTGGCGAGCATGCATATCAATTTGTTTTATTCAACGAGTTCAATAAACGAGTTCAATAAATTTAGTATTGAATCTACTTGGATAGATATTATATTTATATCACATATCCGAAATAAGAATGTTGACGCGCCTATAGTGTGAAAAAAATTATTATAGTGTCACCCCTACGAAAAGGACCAGCCATTGTTGACTTATGAGACACCTTTTGCTTGCACCTCCGAATTCCTACCACTAAGCCCGGCACCAGATGGATAGAAATCGGTAACCATTCATTTTAAATACGTCGCGGCTCACGAAGCGGCGGCCATTTCGGAACGAGTCCCACGAGAAACATTCATCTTTCAATTAAAGCTCCCCGCGGAGCTCGAACCTTCGACCTCCCTTCGACGCCTTAACCACTAGGCCAACGGTTCTCTTACATTAGCGGCGTTCTGTACGCTATGTTTGTATATAAAGCTCATGCGCCTTATGTGATAATTAGAAATGTGATTCTTAAAGGAATAGGAATGGATGGATTGATGTCTGTCTAATATAAATATTCATCATTTAAAAAGAGGAACCATGACAGTTTTCCTATTGACATCAACCCTGTAAGAGAGAAATTCGTGTTTTAAGACACTATTTTTTACTTGAGAAATAAGTTCATGGGCGCTGCCATTTTGGCGTTCTGTCGTTCTCACGAGACAGACGAGACCGAGATTGTGACGTCTTATACCCACTTCCGGTATAGGTGTACACGCTGGTACAACTGAAATATATCTTGATGAAGAACTTATTAATTTTATTGCGAACATTATATATTATTTATGAAAACATCATATGGAACTGAATTGCTTTAATTAATTAATTGAAGACGCTGGGACATTAATAATCATTTGTCCGATATTCAAGCTTGCTGATGATCCCACCACATGATTTAAGCAATGACAGCTTAATTTTCAAAGATAAACCATGAATTTAATTTGGGTACTATGAGAACTTTCTTCAAATTGACGATATATCCTTTTATTTTGTACTTAATTTTCGCTAGACAAGCTGTCCAAATGGGGTACATCGCCGGTCATGTATCTTTTTTTCAGGTAAAATATCAACTAAATCCAATATGCTGAGGACGCGTTTTTCCGCCATTGACGCTAAAAATGAGAAAAGCGCAGGAAAATCGGCAGCCAGACTAAAATCGTATGAAAACAAAACTGTCAATTAGGTTATTTTGGCACCTAGTCAAAGCTGGTACCAACAGCAACAGGTTGCCCATTCCCCTATTTTTACGCATATTCTCGGGTTTATCCAGTTCCCTAAAGCTTTTTTCCACGTTATCTACTTACCAAATTCCTTTCCCCGACAGATACGCATTTCTACTACCGTAAATTTAATCCAATAAAACAAAAAATCACAAATCTACTTAATATTTAAAATGATTATTGGTAACTGAAAAAAAAATGTGTTGCTATTTTATGACGTGCTGTAATTTACTACGGTGTGGAACCTAATTCCCCCTAAGGTCATTCAGTTCACTGATGAAGCGTAAAAAAATAGATGTCTATTTCGCCAGAAGAATGTATGACAAGGGTGATCAACCAATCAGGGCAACATTGTGCATGATCAAAAGGTCTGTCGGCACAGAGGCATACAAGGAGCAATAAAAATCGTCAGTACACAGTGTGACAGGAATTAGGAACAATTAAAATGGACAATGCGCAATATTAGACATAATTAGGTAGTAAGAACCAGCAATTGTGTGAATAAATTATGCAAATTAGATTTTTGAGCAGCCAATAAAAATGATTTGCCTGCAGTTAATATTAGGCTACGATTACGATGCGCAGCATCATACGTTGACAGACATGTTAACAATTTACTTTTGAAAAGAGTTGCTTATATTTTTTAAATGTGTACATCAGTTATAACATATGTTCACACCTTTAAATTTGAAAGTCAGAATCAAACTGCCAAAATTTAATTATATGTACTATTAAGAACACGTTTTAGTAGGGGTTTTATAATGGAAGTGGCTAGCGTACGGGTCCGTACGGCTAGCCAAAAGTTTTAGCCGTAGCCGTACGTGAGTCACGTACGACTAGCAATGACACACTGTATTGGCTAGCCGTACGGCACTTTTTAAAATTGTATGGAAGTCGAAAATGCATATGTTATTTTATGACTTTAAGCGAGGATTTTAACCAAGAAACAGTATTAATTGTCTTCGGATGTTAACTTTTTAGAGATTAATCGCCTTGATCGCTATATATATATATATAATATATATATATATATATATATATATATATAATATATATATATATATATATATATATATATATATATCAATCTTTGTCATCGCAAGATGTCGAGAAAAAAATAGCCTTTGCTTGCATTTACACCAATTGAAATAGCTTACAAAATTTTGATAATAATCCTTTTTTGTTTCATTAAGTTTAATTTTCGACACCTTTAATATGAAAAAAACCCAACAAACACTGAAAATGATTGTTGTTAGGCTCTTGATAATTGTGACAATTACCGACGGTACTGTATAAAAGTTTGTCCATCAAGGAAGATTGCATGTTCCGTGAAAGGCATTTCTAAAATTCTATTGTCAGTCCCTGGATAGGTTTTAATTAAGGCTAATTAATTGATTGACTGTGCTTTTATGTTTGATATTTATCTACTGTTTTTAAAATTATATAATTATTTTTGCATTTCACCGTTTTTTTTTGTTTTTTTTTTTCATTCAATGTTCTTTTTATTTATTTATTCCACTCCGATCATTTTTTATTCGATCCATGTGCTTAAAATTAACAAAAATGATTAAATAATTCATACAAATTAAACAACAAATGATAAGCATGAAAATCAACAATTTTATTACGTTCGACTTCCATATAATTTTGAAAAGTGCCGTACGGCTAGACAATACAGTGCGTCCTGGCTAGTCGTTCGTGACTCACGTACGGCTAGAACTTTCGTAGCTAGCCGTACGTTTCTTTATTTTTTTTTATTTTTTTTTATATTGTTACGTATTTTGAACCATAAAAAATCTCCTCTACACCTCCTGTGAAAATTAAATTGTCTGGTCAATACTTCATTATATTAATATTTCCTTACGATTCAACTAGATTTATCATGAATCTAAAGATGTGGGGAAATGACATCACGCGCACCTGTTTTTAAATGGCCAATACACAAACATGGCCGCGCTTACTGATTTGTAGAAATCGGTGATTTAACGATTGAAATTTTGTTATCATTCGTTTAATATTATTATTTGGCGGCAGAAAATTTGCAGATTTATTATTTATAGTATTCTTTTTCTGAAATCAAGTTTTTATTCTAACCTTGTTTTTCCCTTTAAGTGGAAGTTATTTGGTAGTTGATAAATTATAAAAACATGTTGTAGGAGAAACATTTTCATAGTTAGTATGTTAAAGGAGCATATTTATGTTTGATAACATAGAGGTGACATTAACAGTCTAATTTAATCTTGTGGCCACAACTTATCATCTTGCTGGAGGGGTTAAACTGGAAACCATCTTATTTCACTGCTTCTGTGGCGAATTCACCACTGTCACTACGTTTGACCCATAGCTTTCGCATAAGTTATGGCCAGTGTGATATTAAGTTACATTAAGATGAAACGACTATTTTCATTTGGTATTAAAATAAGTTGTGGTCACAAGATCATATCATGAGGCCACACGATAAAAGTTGTGGTCACAAAATACTATCTTGAGGCCACAAAATAATAAGTTGTGACCACAAGATAATTAGTCGTGGCAACAAGATAATAAGTTGTGGCCACAGGATAAAATGTTACTGTAAATGTTAACTCTCCATGTATACATGTATCTACCTACAAAACATATGACCTTGATAATAAGTCGTTGTCATGAGATAAAAATAAACTGCTAATGTCACCTCTATGCCACCGTATTTATGAGAAAATTATATTTAAGTTCTAATGGCATTTGAAAATGTGTCATGAATAAATAAAACTTTCAACACAATCCACATATTTCCCTGGACAGAAATTGTGAGTAAATGTGCAATTAAATCACTGTACGCGGCGGGCTTAACATAAGTACGGAAACAAATAATGCACAATTTAGCTAGATATCTGGTACGGCAGCATTAATTTGTTGATATCGTGTAAATCGAATAAATATATCCCAAAAACTGTCTGTAGTTCGGATGGACATCTACGCTCTCTTGATATAATTCCTCGCATACGAACTCAAAAGAGTGATAATTCTTATGTGTCAAATATTTAGAGTCTGCTGTCTGAGAACGATGTGTTACACTTATAATTGAGAACAATGTGTTATACTCATTATGTCACAAGAACATCTTTTGTGAGAAAGTTTCAACGACACTATCAAGTCGTTGTGAATGTTGAATGAGAAAATATTTAGCGATCATGTCAATGAGACATGATGCAAGAGAACTATAATTAGTTGTAAAGGCGTATGGCCATGTTCTGAGAAAAAAGTCTCACATAAATTTATATAAGATAATTTCATCCTTGTGTATCTTTAACCTGCAAGATGTTTCAAAATGAACCACTTCATCATTTTATACATCGTAGTTCATATATGTCAACGCACGAGACCATTTGATACATTTTTCAATTTGTTTAAGTTAAACTTGGCTTCAATTTGCATTGACTCTTCTTGTCGGATAAATGTAATTTACGTTAAAATATAAAACATTGGACGTTGATGGTTATTATTGGCGTCCGCGCCGAAGCGCGACGCCCTTTATGGAATGGATTCAGATTTTGTGAATTGGCAATCGCAACTTTTCGGACGTACCGATTGGGGAAATGGTTGTTTAAAACGTCATTCGTTTCGCGCTATGGTAATAAATAACGAACTGGAGAAATTTACAAAAATGAAATGCAGACATAATTTTACATCTAAGTGAACTCTTTATAAATTTATCTAAAAAATATTTTTAAACTTTAAGTATAAATGTAGGCCATATTTTACGAATTGCTATATCATAGTATTATCATTTTAAATTTGTCTTTTCCTTGGGTTCTTTCCGATAAAAGAACCGATAAATTAATAATTGCTCTTTTTTCTTTCTTTTCTTTCTTTCTTTCTTTCTTTCTTTCTTTCTTTCTTTCTTTTTTATGGTTCTGATTGCACTTCTGACATTTTCACCGGGTATTTTTAAATCGACCCTTATTTCCCGAATTTTGCTGTAGGAAGTTGATTCTATATTTTGTTTCAAGGCAATCGATGTTATGGTGGTTTGAGTGAAATGTTTATTCGCCGAATACTGTGACATTCAACAACAGAAACTTTCGCCTGCAGTTCTAACATGATGTGTTTTAGGTTTATTGATATCAATGTAAACACACTGGTGGGTCAGACGAGGTTTTTGAAGCAATTCGACAAAATAGTAGACTGATCTCCCAATAAAGCAATTAACAATAGCTATTTATTTATCTATCAGAAATGTCAAGCAGCTTTTATATATTTGACTCGCATGAACATGTTGGTGAATTTCCTCATACCTTTAACAGTCTTCCGTTGTACTTCACCATATCAACATGCAATGCAAATCTATTCATAATTTTATTTAATGTACAATTATTTTTGTTAACACGTACAACAACAAAAAAAAAAAACCTGAATTCATCCCAAATTTTTCATTCCAGTGTGTGTTCTACTTTCAGTGTTTATCTGGGACTTCAAATGTAAATACTTTATCTTTAGTAAGTCCCAGGTATCAATAGAAACCATTTATTAATTTGACATGAAAATTGCATGTAATATTACTATATTTTCCGTTTGCATATTTGTTACATTTATATTAAAAATAAAAAACAGACTTTGTTCATTTTGACTAGAGCGCTACTGTTTTGAATGTTCTAAAGAAAATACATTTTATATTCTAATCTCTAGCAAGCCTACCAAATATCTTATGAACAATGTCTTTCGTCCAAAAATTCATCTATGAAAAAGTATGATATACATGTACTATTCTGGTAAAATCCAATTACCCATTGTAAAGTTTATAAGAAGATACATGTATCTGGTCATCAGATGACTACTAGTTCATCGTAACCTGCTGCATTTCTTGCTCGGACGCCCTTTTATGCTTTACATCAATGCTTTTCTTGTATACTTGAAAGAAATATTGATGAAATAAAATGTGTATTTTCATTTACCGTATTTTCACTATTTTTGTTCACTGCAGTGAAGCATATTTCCGTATTTTTATTGGTTCAATTCAGTCAATACAAAATATCTTTTAAAGTGTTGTGTCAAAAACAAAGAGAAAAAATTATATAATCAACAGAAAATTCTTTTTTTTCTATAAACACAGGATCTATTTTCGCCTTGTGGTATGGAAATTATCATATTTCACTCATGACTGCTGCCATTCATGAAATATGATAATTTTCATACCACAAGATGAAAATAAATCCTGTATTAATAAAAAAAACTATTTTGGTCTCCATTGACGAAAGTTAAGAACTTCTTATGTTTACATAAAGCGTACTTGCTGATTTTAATCAGATAAATATTGCTCACCATTATTTATCATTTCGATGATTCGTTATTTATTTGTAATTGGCCTATAAATCTAAATAAAGTATAACTAGATGAATGTGAACATTATTTAAAATATAGTATGATTTACGAAAATTAAATATTTGTTTATTTGGAACATTTTCAGATGGTGAAATAGACGAAAGCTGTAAAATTAATTGCGCATGTTGTAAGAATCAAAACTGTGGACCTGATGGTTACTTTGAGGAAGGAAATTGTTATGAGGGTTGTATTGATGGATATTTTGGTGGTCGTTGCTATAGGAAATGTACCTATAACTGTCAAAAATGTGAATACGACGCTGATATCTGCGAGTCTTGTTATGATGGATTCTATCTGGAAGTTACCAAAGATTGTTCAGGAGTGTGCCCTTCTGAATGCGTATCTTGTACATCGTCCACATTTTGTACAAAATGTAAAGAACACTTTTACAATGACCATGGTTATAGGGACTGCAGGTTTCGAAAATGTCCGGTTAACTGTAAATGTGATCAGAATGTATGTGTTGAATGTCAGGCGGGTTATTTTGGTCCTAGCACTACGTGTCTGGATACTTGTCCTGCTAACTGTTATACGTGTCTATCAAAAGACTCTTGTCAGTCGTGTAAAACGGGATATTACAATGGTAAAGAATTTGATAATCCTCAAAATCCTGTGATGAATAACTGTGTACATCAATGCCGAGCTGAATGCACAAGTTGCTTGAGTTTTAATAATTGTACATCATGTCTGCCAGGTACATTTGGTCCAACATGCCAGCAGAAATGTTCCACTGGGTGCAATAACAACGTTTGCGAAAAGGAAACCGGAAACTGTATCTGCAGGCAGGATTTTGCAGGGACAGATTGTACAAAATGTATTCTTGGTAAATTTGGTGACTTGTGTGAAAACAATTGTACTGCCTATTGCAAAAACGGCATTTGTGATAAAAAGTCAGGTGAATGTGATGAGTGTATAAGTGAAAATATGATCGACCGAAAGTGTGACACTTGTAAGGAAGGATGGTATGGTGATACCTGTAATCTGAGATGTCCGACTAATTGTAAATACAATCTATGTGAAAGAAATACAGGTACATGCTATTATAATGAATTTTGTTATTCATCATGTTCATACTTTAGTTTGAATACCATGATATTTTTCTCTAAATTATAAATTATAACTCTCGGTCAATGGTATCTGACCGGCTGTTAAACACAAATGTACATCGGGTGACCTTCTTAAGCGTCGATGTTAGATTTGTAACAAATCATTTAAAGGTTTTTTTTCGATGCAGTAACAAATGCACAGGTAAAATAATTTTAAAATAGAAAAGCTAAACTTGATGTACATTGTATGTACAAATTTCCTTCATCTCATAGAATATATAAAAGTAAATAAATATACATGTTTGCTTTGTTAATTATAATTATATTATAATCTCTTTAAACGAAGGATATCAAACAGACAACATAAACAACAACAACAACCAGACTGCTGTCATAGTAATGGGAATAATAATAGCCATACTAATGATTAGTTTAGCTGTGTCTTTGGTTTTACTTTGGAGAGCACGATTCTTCCAAAAGTAGGTGATTTCCTAAACCAATATCTAAAAATAAAACAATAATAGATAATAAACAAATAAAGATAAAATCAATGTTGATTTGATAGATTTACTTTATTTCGATATAAAATAATCCGTTTCTTTTTTTATTTAAAACGTGTTCTGTTTTGGATATTAGCAAACATGTTTTCTTGCATTTCTAACAGTAAATTAACATTTATATTAGCTGCAGTTTGCACATTTAAAATCTTATGAATATAAGTTTCCTAACAACTTTACCGTTGATTAATTTATTTATTTTAGTAATACAGTTGACAAAACAATATTACCTGAAAATAATATGAAGGAAGCTGGTGACAGTAAGTGCACATTTTGTTGTATATCAAAATTCATTACGAACCATTCATTACTGTGTTTCCTTCATTACAATGCACACGAATTTAACACAAAGTTTTATTGATGTTTAAAATTATATGCTGTATTCATTTGAATAAATCTTTCCGGTTTTTAACAGTGATTAATTTAACTATGAATTTTACTATTTATTTCTATGTATTCTACTCAATACTAGTATCATTAACAAAACCATATGTTTTTGTGTAAACCAAGCCAACTGGTGACTGTGTTATCCAAGATAACATAAAACTGTGAACACTTGGTTGGTCAATTTAATGAGTCAATTCATGTTTTATTATATGTTGTAACCTGAAGTTTTATTGACAACATTGAAAACATAATTATTAACTTTGATTCTTATATTGCACGTTTAACTTCCTGCTTTCAGAGCACATCACATCTGAGAAAAACCCTGTTTACTACAGTGTGATGGAGACGGGTTTATGTACTAGGCGTTTTACCTCTTTAATGATAAATCTATCAGGACTATATTATACTGAAAGACTTCTTCATTTTGATGAATAATAACCTTGCTTCAAACGATTTTTGTGGCATATTTTACCCGTTTCATTAATTCCATGTACAGTGTATTAACAGAGCAAATAATTATGGTTGTCAACCCATGTGGTTCAAGTATTTGATTAGAAAAGTATTAAAAATAGAATAGCTTCTTTACATGAAAGAGTCAAAAGTCTTTGTCGGGATTTGAACTCTCAATTGTATGAGGCAAATGGTTTTAAGTCGACGAGCTTAACCACTAAGCACCGGACGCCCCTGCAGAGATATTTCAGTACATCACAAAATGTCAGAAGAAAATGTTCAATGAAAACAATATTTTTCAGATTCACAGATTACTAAAGAGACAGACAAAAACGAGTACGAGAAGATTAATTCCCTTCAAGGTTATCTTTAAAACAGATATTTATAGAATATTTGACCTAATTATGTTATCCACTTGGCAATATTGTTGTAACACGTGTCATCATAGTGTTTTTGGAGATACTGATGTTTAGATTATGATATTACAACGAATAAGAAAAATACTTCTTTAAATGATATATGTTGGTAAAACAACATAACTAAATAAATGCCCGGGTGTGTTCAGACCTCATCAGAGGCAAGCCGTTATTTCCGTGAGCAATACATTTACACTCAATGCTTAGTACTGGTTGGTTTAAAGTAGAGATTCGAGAGTGTTTCAATAAGCTTATAGCTTCCAACGCAATCAAACTAAGACAAGTAAAATGGTTTCCTGCGGGGAACATTTTTAATGATATAAAGATATTTCATTTAACTATTTTCAACATTGTTTGGGGGTGGGGGGATAAATGAATGTTTGTACCAAGAATAAAGTTGACAATAATCGATCAATATAGAAGAAGGTCTTTGGAAACTAGTGACCGTTGAAGACCTGAGACCGGAGAAGGTCGAACATAAAACAATTATTTCTTTTTAAGAAAATGATTAAATACCATTTTCTGAATAATTCCGAGCAAAAAAAAAAAATAAATAAACACACAAGTTTTCGCAGAAAATATCTCTATTTAGTATGGCAGATGCAACTACGAATATTTTAATTTTGTAGATTTTCAGTATAAACATGCAATTTATAGTTTGTAAAATTTGAGATAGATATTAAAGAAATATTGATAATTTTCAAACACATCATTCAAGTTTTTCCAACTTACACGGTAAAATAATTATAGAAAATAAGAAATATCACGTAATAGTTTTTTGTTGTTAATTAGGTGTAATTTGGACTGATTCCCTAGAGGAAAATCCGTAACGTACCGGCAAACGGTATTTAGCTAGGTTTTCGAAAAGGTCAATAAACCAATCATGTACTGTTTACAGATCACATGCTCCTCCATGTACCGAAAACAGGTCACGTGCTCCTCCATGCCTCAAAAGTTAAACGCGTACCAATACCCTGCGGTACTCGGACCGCAGGGAATAAATTAGTATTGACTAAACACTAAGCTTACAATAGACGTATTTGGCGGTAACGATTTATACGGGATTAGTGTGAAATTTCATTTTATTTATTTTGATATATTTTATTACCATTGTATTGAATAACCATTAAAATAATGAATGATATACATGTTATTTCTTTATTTTCAGTTTCAGAACACGAGTATGGGCATATTACGGTCGGTGTTTAAAGTATCGGTAAGTGTAGTAATGACTCGTTATAACACGATTTATTTCACTTAAAGTATGATATTGTATGTAAGAACACACTTTATGCGTTTAAACTTGTTCAGTGCAACATCATTATTTTCTTTTTTACAGATAAAGCTGTAAAGAAGATATAAGAGAATGCAGAACAAATGAGCTGTTTCAACAGCATTATATGACTTTTGTTTGAAAAGAATTTGTTCCTATTACTGTATATAACTAACGCATACTTACCATTTTTCATTTTCGAATCACAAAGTTATCACTCATCAGTGAAAGCGCCTCTTTCACAAAATGCTTATAAGTATCAAGGTGAAAGGAGTTGTTGACTAGGACTTTGTTCCTCCGAGTCGGCAAACAACATCAACATGCTAAGCTTAGAACCATTTCCGTGATGTTATAAGTTTTATGTATAAATGTGTACATATTAATATAAAAAATGTATTTGCTTTATGTTAAGTAATTTTGATGTATATAATGTATATGTCCCTTTCTTCTTCAGTCTTTTTTCATCTACGTTAGTGTAAGAGTTGTTGTGTGTACATGTCTTTTGGTTGAATGGTTTGGCACAGACGTGTCACATTAATGGTTCCACGATAACCGCCTTCCGAAGTCATCTGCGAAACTTTCTAATTTCAAAAGATCACCATTTTTATGTTTAAATGTTGAGTGCGATAATGTGTGCACGCTTTTCTGACATAGTTCTCTTTTAATTTTGTTATGATTTAAGATATACATAATTATTCCTTTGTTGTATATAAATAAATAAAAAGTAAGCATGCATTTTTGTCCTTTTATCTCATTATGAAATATGACTAAAATACTTATAAACAAGATTTAATGGACGATAAGGAAGATCGCTTAATATTCATGACCACTTTAGTTATTCACGATAATCACTCCCGTATGACACTTATAATATTAATTATGAAACAAGTTTCAAATTCATTTGTAAGGATAGGGAAGTCATGAAATTTACCGTATTTATTTTTATAAAAAAATCATTAAAATTATAGAAAACTGTTGTTGTTTTTTAAGAAGTAATTTGTTTCTAAGCTTAACTTAGAATGAAGCATAAAAGGCGTTTACTTTTAGATTAGATACTCGGCGATTATACGAGTCATTATATAACAAGATGTTGTCGGTATTGCTAGACATTAGTACACACGTCCCTACCGCTTAAGTTCAAATCCCGCCAAAGACTTTGAATTCTTCCATATAAGGAAGCTAAACGGACGTCGTTGGTTCTACTCACATTTACGCTCCTGTCTGAAATTACACACGGAGGAACACTTGAGTTCTTCCTCTACTAGTAAGCTGGAAAGTCGCCAAAATTAAATAGATATATTCATATATCAGAATTAATATTTCTAACTGTTCAGACAATTCTTTGTAAAATTTAGTTTCATGGACGTATCTGTATTTCGAGGTTAGTTTGAATTGATTAACATATTTATTTCCTCTTCTTCGAACTACCCAGTACTTGTGAATCAACATGGTCGTGACCCCGGTAGGACTCGAACCAAAGACACAGAGTTTTCTTTTATAGTATACTTTAAAAGTCAGATTATTTTAGGGCGCAACAGGGAATGTCATGAAGTGAACCATATCAGAAATGACAGCATCTTGAGTTTATTCTGTAAGCAAGGTAACAGTGGGATAAATAGTATTGAACGAAATGCCGGGCAAGTTCAGTTTAATTTTTCTTGTTGTGCATGAGTACACAAACATAAAAATTGCAGAACAATGGTAAATAATCTGATTATTATGTAGTCATAGTATATTTATTATTATTTGATACTTTTGTTGTCGAATATTCATGGAATAGGCGAACGAGGTATACATCTCCGTTAAAGGATATAGTTGGTACTAAAGTAGTTTTTTAAAAATAATGTCCCGTACAATGGTCTTACATAGCGGCCACATCAATGATTAGATAAACGACAATGCTAATAGCAAAGTAAAATCTGCTAGCTTTACAAATTTGAAACATAAAAACACAGAGCAGCGTCAAATTATTATATTTGTTATCCCATGAAATCCGCCTCTCTTAAAATATACTGGGATCTTTTGAAATATGAAAAATATGAGCGTGAACAATTTACGCGTACATAATCCACTCATAGCATGATATTTTTTAAATCAGTAGTTTTTGTCAAATAACCTTTTTATCAGTTATTATGATTCTCTTAAACTGTATGTTCCGCATTATCTAAATTATTGTTGTGTTTATTGAGCATGTACTCATCGAGCATGTACTGATCATGTCGGAAATTTCTCACAAACAGGCATCAGTCTGATAAAGAAACATTTGAATATAACAAATATATACAAAAATCAAACAACAACAACAACAACAAAAACAACAACAGACCAACCATAGCAACAACAACATATTATTTTGGTATTATCATGCACGGAGAGACGCACAGAGGAAGTACAAAGCTTTTTTTGTATATGACAACGTCACTTTGAAATTGTTTTATTTGGTAAATCTCATATGTTTTTATTAACATCAATGTATTTTTAGATTGAATAAAATTTTGAATCCCGCCAGGGAATCAGTGAAATTGCTAATATTTAAATCCAATGAGTATCCATATGAAATGTAAATTTATTACTCAAACGTCAGACATAAATTGATTACGTAGACATAATTGCATTTAAATATCACTTTCAATCAGACAAAACTCATTTTGATGCTAAGTTGTATATTAACAGAATAAAATACCTTTCTATCTTTGGAATATATTCGTCACGGCTCTGACATTTTGAATCTTTAGTCATGCTAAGTGTGTAATGATGTCATAATATTTTTTAAATTAAACGTCTTATTCGTATCCTTTTCATTTCTTGCTGATAAACGCGAGAGGCTGTCATTGATTATTCACGAACATTTTAAAAAAAGTGTATTTTTGTTTCAAACATAGTTATTTGAAATATGATATCTATTTTTGATACCAACTTTATAAAACCGGTTTGATAAGCGCGTATTAACATTTTATTGTATGCAAATTGATAATAATTACTTTTCTTGTTAAGAATGGGCCACATACTCATTCATTTGTAATATTTCTTCTATGAAATGTCTATGTATTTCTTTTCATGTAATATAAGTTATAAAGATTTGTAACAGGTTAAATGGTTCTATATAACCTTAAGAAATAATATTGGTCTCAGTTGTGTTCATCGGCTATTTAACACTGGTTTAGAGTGTTGATGCGTAGGCATTTCGAAAAGAAAAAACAAAAAAATTACACCATTTTTTTGACTAGATTATAACTATTAATAGTTCAATGCTTTTTATACTTTGTGAAGAATTTCAACTCAATTTAAAACCAAAGCGTATTTAATAGAGGTATTTCTTAAAATATTTTATGTCAAGTTAGATTTTATTTTCATTCTCTTTATAGAACCCGTCTTCTCTGTGATACTAGAGGCAGGTTGAACACTAGATTACGCATCCCACATTATCTGAACTGTAAATAATGCCAATATTACAACAATATGTTTTCGAAAAGAAGACAGGCATAAATGTTTCCCTATCAATTCCATCGAGTTAAGTAAACAATCAGTATTACTTTGCAGCCAAGCATGCAAAACGTATCTCTTGTGAATTCTAAAAATAATTTATATACAATCGATTGGCCACGATATATAAATGCAAAGTCCATGCTCGCAAATTATACAGGCTCGCCAATTCATCACTTTCCGCTTAAATGTTCCATTTCCAGTTTGATATGAGGAAGCATTCCATCTTTATGAGTGTGTGTTCTCCTTTGAGAGTCCGGAAAAATCTTCCAGACTACCCAAATATTATACACGGCCTTATTCAATTATGATTGTTGCACGGACGGCCACCTGAAGTTTTCCTCCACCAGTGAAGCTGGATAGTCGCCACATGACCTATATTGTGTTTGTGCGATTGTTGTGGCTCGGGGATTTCTTTAGATGGGTAAGGATTTCGTAAAACTGTGTCATTGATGATTGCTATCTTAACAAGTTTAGGATGTTCTCGAAGCTTGAACAACAAACAAACAAGCAAACAAACAAAAAGCAAACAAACAACAACAACAAATAATAATAATAATAATAAATAATAATAATAAACAATAATAATAATAATAATGATAAAAGATTCGACAAAAAAATCAAAAGTTGCTGGTTTGACAACTACCATCATCTTCGATAAAAAGTCTTCATGAAGAACATGTTTTATTCAATCAAACTACCCATGTTCTTTGGGTATGTGTTTACGAAGCGATTGCAAAATATCTTTTTACATGTACATGTCTTGGTTGAAAGTTCAATTGAATATTTTATAAAATTCTTAACCAAGAATTTTAGTTGTCAAATTTTATCCGTATTCAGTAAAGTTTGCATGTCGCTAACTAGCTACAAAACATTCTAATTAAGTGAAAGTCTTCCTCGTTGAATTCGATTTAAAACAACAATCATTTTCAATAATATAAAACCTTAAAGTACAAATTTTAGTATTATATAACAAGTACAGATGCGTGCAGAATGTACTGAATTCGAGAATCTTTGAGGTTGATCTTTTTTTCATATTATATACAGACACTCGTGATGCACATTATAATTTATTTGAACTAAACAATGTTATAAGAGACCACTTTCTTCTATTAACAAGAAGATTTATTACCAAATGCTCATGAATAAAACCATAAAAAGTGCAAGTAGATCGTCTATGAAAAGTTTCTGGCAAAAAGTATGCTTTTTCTATCATTAAAGCGGAACAAGATGTTTTTTGAAGATATATGACGGCTATGTTTAACAGAAATAGACAATATGGGCTTTAATACGGAGGCAATTTAGTTTCAAGTTATTATCTTAAATATAATCATAACATGATTGTAATGAAATCAAACGATTCAGTATGTCGGATATTATACAAAACCTAGTCTATAAAGAATATAATATTGAAATCAATTAATTAAATAAAAGTTTCTCTGCTCAAAATATTGGTTGCAATTCATTTCGTAAAAAAAAAATCATGCCTAAATATCTATGATTTTTTGTAATCATGTATCATTCTATCGATGCCTGGACATTAAATGTATATTTTGTTATTGACGAAACATGTCAGCTTAGAGACTTTACATGTGTCCAATATAGATTGAACAGTCTGGACACTGTTTATCGATACACTATCAGAATGTGACGTTTTGCAAACTTAAGGCTTCAATGCAAACGCTGGATCTGTCAAGATCTTGATTGACAAAACAGTTTCAGATAATTACGTTAGATAGTGCTGATTGTATATAATAACATTTTTAACTCTCATGTAGATTATTTAGCATTATTCAATTTGATTAAAGAATCAGATAAAAAATAAAATAAAATGAACTGTTCATCGGCGAGAGGCTCTACTCGTATTATGAAAAACCAAAATTTGGAACTTAAAAAGTTAAGTGATTCCCTAACGAAAACTCTGTCTGTATATTTCTGTATTATGTAAACTTCAATGATGTTAAATTATACCTTTCTACTCTTTTGTGAGCGGTAGTCCTAGTGCAGTGTGAAGCTATGAAACTCCTCACAGTGATTTGATTGGATACGCTCAAGTCACTGCCCTCTCAAATGTTACTCGCACATTACTTAAAAATAGAGGTTACGCCAAAAGGAAACTGTTCGTCACCTTTTGCCATATAAACCAACATGTAATGGCATGCTTTTAGTCAAGAAAATGTTGGCATCATTAAATTTGTCTCGACTGTGCTGTCGGTTTTGATTCAAAACATGACATTGATTTGTGAATTG